AATATAATATAATATAATATAATATAATATAATATAATATAATATAATATAATATAATATAATATAATATAATATAATATAATATAATATAATATAATATAATAATATATTATTGAAAACATGTATGTGAAATAGTTATATTAACGCAGTTTCGTGGGGATAAAAAAATTATACATAATTTCTCAATATTTTCAGGCTAAATGAGGAAGGGGGGGGGAGAATAAGTTGAAAAAAAATGTGTATAACTCAAGTAGCACGCCAGAGTGGCAATCGATTGAAATTCCAAGCGTTACACGTTCCCACAGATGTTTTATGGTGCGTAATCGTTTGCGCGGTATGTACTATTTCTCTCTTCTCCCTTTATCCATATAATATTCCCTTGTTAACAAACACATCACGCTCTAATATTCTGTAATAGCAAAGTTAACTTCCCTCCCTTGGTAAAAATGGTAACGTGGAAAAACGACATTAGGATTATTATATTCTGCCGCAATTAATAGTTATAAATGGACATTTTCAGCAGTGTCTGTTGATTTATATGCAGCCACTGTCCAAGTTGCAGAAATAATCGAGAAATTTATACTTGTTTTCAGGATATTGTATACCACGACAGAAAATATTGAGAGATTTTCATAAATACGTATGAATATTTACTTTACAACGAATCAGAGACTCAGTGAAGGGCTCTCTCAATCGACTTAAATTACAGAGCGGTCGAGGTGGGTATTAGCTGGGAGCTTAGATAGTAAATAAAATGTGCGAATGAGTTAAAACATTTAAATTCAATATTTTTATAATTTAAACTGGCAAAAAATTGAAATAAAAAAAAACAAAATAATATAATAACAATAATAATAATAAATAATATATTTATAATAATTATATTATTATATTTATATCATAATTAAAAACAACAAATGAATAAATAAATATAATTATTATAAATATATTATTATTGATTATTATTATAAATAATATATTAATTATATTATTATATTTGTATAATATATTTTATTAATTATTATTAATTAAATTTTTTAATAATTTCACGTATATGACTGCCTAGTGAAATTTCAGAATTAATTTGCAATTGATTAATTGCGTCCATTTAAAAAATTATTAATGATAGATTTAAATTCTATTAAATTTTTCTGGATTGACAAAGGTGTACAATACATGAAAGGTTACAAGAAATATAATACCTTTATATGGAGAGCTGCTGATTTGTCGAGGTTGGTTTCTCAAGTAGACTGTTATAAGCGCCGAAATACAATAAACTTGTGCGCGTGTTGAAATTATTCAATCAACCGTTGAAATTCATTTGTCCCTCTCTGCGTTCTTTTCTCTTTGTGGTTTGTAACATAGCTTTTTACCTTTATGGAGTTTATCCGATTTTAATTAAACATGAAAGAAATCCGTCGAGTTTTTTTTTCGCGCTAAAATTTCTGTGTGAAAACCAAACACGGCTGGTGCACAGAAGAATTATGGGTTTATGAGTGATGATGGTGACCCATAATTCCCCGAGATTTCCATGGTGTATAGGAAAATTCATCGATTTTTCTATCGGTAGAGAAGTGACGACGTTAGGAATTGCTAATGCATTGTGAAACGGTTTTATCTGGAAATGTCTTTTCATTTTTTAGTCTTTCTTAATTGCCCAGAAATTTCCGCATAATGGTTCTCCCCATTGATTGACAAATCAGATTAGCTAATGTAACACTAGGTAATAATTCTTTCCTTTTTCATCACCATTTTAAAGAGTGAATTATTTTTCCATATACACGTATAAATAATAGTGAGTCAATTAATAATTCCGGTAAATCGATGAATCTCGTTACAATTTATTCCGCCTCAATGAAATTACATAGTAGTAGGTCGTTTAACGAAGCTCAGGTGGTTAATTGATGGAGAAAGTATCCACCAATGTAAGATATATATAATTAAACCAGTCGAGAAATTGGGGCTCGCCTGTTGGTTGTATCTAGGAGTAATGTGTGGATTCTCTAATCTCTACGGGGAGCATTGTAATGGGCTTGAGGGAAGTTATATTATGCGCCGATTATTGCTTCAAAATTTAACCATTATTTACTTGTCATAGAGCGAATATTACATAAATAAATAAATAACAACTTACTTCCGATTTCACTGTTGAGATTGCAGCGAAAATTCTTTAGGCATTACAATTATGTAATATTTACATTTTAGTAGAAACACACGGAATCGTGGAAGTCGTTCGAGAGATTTATGAAATGAACTAACTCTTTCCAGGGAATATATCACTCGCTTGTAAATCATCATTATTCAATTACCGATTATAATTTATTTTTGGAAAACCAGTTGAATTCTAGAGCATTCAATGGAATTTTATTATCCCTTTAATAAAAAATCCAATGTTACGTTTTTTTAAGCCAATCTATTTTGCCTAACGTGTTCTTTCTTTAGCATTATACTATCATATAATATATAATATATAATATAATATATTACATATAATATATAATATAATAATAATTAGTTGCTTGTTAATTATTTGTTATTATTATAAATATATTATTTATTAAATAATATATTTATAATAATAACTAGCAATTTAACAATTTTATTGACCAACAATTTTTTTATTTTTAGTTCATTTTTATTATTTTCCAATTATTATTAATAATTAATAATAATTAATAATTAATTTTGTCATATAATTTATAATATATTACGTATAATATATATAATATAATATAATATTTTTCTGTGTTATAAAGATATTATTTTCAACACTTCTTTTAAAAACAAATAATTCACAATCGTATTAACTTTTAATATTAGTGAAAATCCATCGAAAACATCTATATCTCGGTTCTACCAATTCCCGAGGCACGTAAGGTAGAGAATAGGCGCGCGGATCGCGCTGCCTAATCTAGTAATTATTAAATTAAATCAGATAAATCTACTAAATGAATTGATTAAATTATTTAATAGATCTCACTCACGTTGAGTGTCGATTTTCAATCGAAATGGTAGTGAAAAATGATACTTAAAATTTTTCTCGATAATTACAACAATTTATCCCTTCAATTGGACCGTTCATAATCATAATTAACGCTCTCCGATTTATTTTTGATAGATTGATGGGCTTCACGAGCGCACCATCGCAATCACCGTTAATTACCTACTTTGGCCTTATTACTTTTTAAATGGCAATTCAAAGCCATAAATATTTATGAGACAAGCATAATAACTCAATACATAAGTGAATATTATATTGATTGAAGTTTATTCAACGTTCCTCGGAGGCTGCCACTTCCCGAATGAATCAAAGGAGGAGTCGGCCTTTTCTTGAGCCGCTAATTTGATGGAAGACGTGTGACATGTTGACGTTGAGACGTCTCTGCTGAAGACAGGAATTACGATCATAATGCATACGCTGTGCGAATAATCACACTGGACGGAGATACTTGCATGCACGTGGGGAAGGAAAAATGCATGATCTTGACAATTGGAAGGAAAAAAATAAAAGCACCCGCCAATTTCAGTATTTAACGAGGAAGGAAGGAGGAAGGCAGGCACATGAATAGCTGCACTAATGAGAATTTTCGTACAAATTCAATCGTGTCGCTAATTTGACTGGGGAAAAAAACGGAAAAAGAGACAAATGAAAAAAAAAAGAAGAAAAAAGAGGTGACACTTGACTTTCACTTCCTCGTGCATACGTCCGCGAATACTCACGCACGTTGTAGCCGTCAAACGTGACAAGTGTTTCCTCGTAATTAGAAATAAAATTTCGAGAATAAAACGGAAAGATGTTTGCTTTTTTTTCTTGAATGGTGAGGGAGCTGCGGGTTGGGTACAGAGAACAATAGGCAACTTGGGAAGTACGAAGTGGTTCACATCGTGTCGTGAGCGCAAGTCTTTATGACATTAATGATGAATGAAATCGGGGAACAGATCAGAAGAAATATCAGGACCAGGGATGGGCAATAGTATCAGATTTTGGCAATATTTGTTATTTTATTCGGTAAAGACCCAACAGCCGAGGCCAATTATAGGGTCAAAGCATTGTACAGCATTATTTATAAACAAATATATACATATATACAACATGAGTATGAGATAAGATGGCAGATTGCATAATCAACAAAGCTGCAGACGTACAAAATTCATACACGGAGGGAAATTTTTTAGAAAAATTCTAGTGCTAGCACGGGAAAAGAGGCCCGAAGTGACGGCCAGGAAAAAATTCCAGTGCCAGCACTAGAAATTTTATTGGGGAAAACGTGAATTTTCCCCGTATTCCTGTGGAAATTTCACGGAAATCCCCAGAAATTTTACCAGAAATACCAAGAAATTTTACCTTAACAGCACTAGAATTTTTCACAGCCGGTGGATTGTGATTTTTTCCAGTACTCGTACTAGAATTTTTCTAGAAAATTTCTCTCCGTTTACCAGAAGAAAAAAAAATAAAGATTATTAGGTCATTCTACGGGACTCGACGAACTTGTGAGCCCTGTCCACAACTGTGGAGAAGGGTGACGTTATAATGTCAATATGAATAGAGACATCATCATGACAAAACTGTACAAAATCATTCACTGCCTTGCACGCAGAATGTAGCGGTAATATTAAAAATGATTGTCTCGTTATATTGTTCAAAGTTAAACTATATCTACCAAATTTAAAATATTATAGAATTTATTAGCTGAATTTTTTCGACTGATGGCGAATAAAATATTTGATGAAGACGCTAAAATTAAAAAAAATTTAAGAACCGAAAAAAAAAAAAAAAAATATCATTATATTTTCCTGAAAAGAATTCTTATTATTTCAAATAATTGATTTTTCAGTTTTATAACTATAACATTTTACTATTATTATTATCATTATTATTCTTATTATTACAGGTGTATATATACACTACTGTATATCGCCACCGTCCTTCTAACGGCAAATATAATTGATTGATATGCCTATGACTGATCAGGACCGGGGGATAAGAAAAGACTGCAAGATCCGATTTGAAAATTATTCTTTTATTTTGTTTGGTGTGTCTGTGTGTCTGTGTGTGCGGATTATTGATGAAATTATGATAATTTAGGATACAATCTGGAATAGCCACTGTCCAATGCAATGGAACACGTCATATAAACTTTCCAAGTTTCCGTTGTGTTCGCGTAAATTTTTATGCTTCCTGGTTGTGAACTAGAATAATTGTAATATTCAGTCATCGCCGCCTGTCATAACTTCCATGAATTCTGAAATGACATAATTCATTAGAAAGTTTTGGGAAAATGTAGGCAATGCGCTCCATAATAAAATGTTGATTAATTTTTCGTAGAGTAATGATGGTGTACGGGGTGGTAAAACGACCCATCATTTTCCTTCGAGGGTATTGAAGAGGGTGCTTTTTGAAGTGGAGAGTTCCCCTTACCCTTTTGGATTTGATCGCTCTTTTTTGTCTGACCTTTTCTTCTTTTGGGCTGTTGCTACTGATTTCTGAGGCGGACATTTAGTTTTGCGTCCGAATGGAAGCATTGTAATCGTTCAAATTTAAATTTTCGATTTTGTGTGTTATGCATTTCAGTAGCGAAGCGGTAAACCGGGTTGAATCGATTTTGACTATTGGCCAGTTTTTGACGAATATCTGGGAATCTAAAAGAGATAGAAAAATTGTTGTCATGACCTTTTTCGTAGAGCCAACTGAGGGTTATAAAAAAGGTGATGAGCAAAATTTTGCTATCTCTCTTAGATTCCGAGATATTTGTCAAAAAATGCCCAAAAGTCAAAATCGACTTAACCCGGTTTACCGCTTCGCTACTGATTTTTAGACGGTGTTATGCATTTTTAGACGAAAATGCATTTTTAGACGGTGTGTGTATGTCACAACCTTTTTCTTCAATTTCTCCCTAACGAATAGATGGAATTGCTAAGCCCTATCCATCGCCACTAATTAAAATTTAGTTCACTGATTCACTTTTTTAATTTTCGAATTTTTTCAAAATTCAGTTGTAACACGATAACTAAAAATGTTCTAAATTCATTGAATGACGGCTTAAAAAATTCGTTGGAATGTCCTTTTGACCGAGTTCGAAGATGAAAGCGATAGCAATAATCGTTATTTCGATTTCTGTGAAATTTTTCCAAAATTTCGTATTTTTCGAAAATCAGAATTCCGCAGATTTCTCTGGATATTGCGCTTCAAATGAACTCAATCATAGCTTAATATGTTTGCTTCCATGCGACTATATCGAAGATAGAAGATGGTTACAATAACTGTCTCGGTTAATTTGATTTTTAGGATAATTTTTACAAATTTCGAATTTTTCATTAATTCCCCGGAAAGTTAGCTTTCTGATGATTCCTTTAAATGTGATGTTTCGAATGCATTCAATTATGTATAAATGAAATATTCCTAATAATATTTCCTAGAACTTTTCAGAAATTTTTAGAATTTCATCAAGTGGAGAATCTAAAACAATTAGTTGGAAAGAAATTGATTCAATTCAAGAAAATGAAAATGTCTATGAATAGTATACAATGGAAAAACATAAGCAAAATGACCGTTTGGAAGCGTATTACAATTGTCTAAATTGTTTCCCCTTTTTTTCTTCTCAAAAAGCAGGAAAAAAGTTCTCAGATCGAAAAAGCGAAGGGGAACTTCCCCTTTATATTCCTTCCACTGATATTACCATCAAAATCAAGTGTCCCAGAGCCATCGGCGTCAATTTCTTCAATCATGAGATCCAGCTCTTCGTTCGTTAACTTATCGTCAAGCTCATGTAAAATATCACGAAAGACATCAGTCGTTATGTAACCATTGCCTTCTTTGTCGTAAAGTCGGAATGCCTCTCGCAATTCTTGCTGCATCGCCTCTGTGTCCTCTTCCACCAAAAATCTGGCGGCCAGAGTGCAGAACTCTTCAAATTCAAGTTCTCCAGATCCTGCAAAAAATTTCATTTCAATTTCATTTCAGTTTCATACGCTGAGAAAAAAAATTGCTTTGGCCAAGTACATGTACTTGCTACAAATAAATATACTCAAAATAAATAAAATTAATATCTGCACAAGAAATCTGTAAATTATTTCGTAGTTAGTAAATATACTTGGCAAAAGTAATTTTTTTTCTCAGCGCAGTACAAAACAATAATGGAAACGAAAATTCAATTTGTGTACCATCTTCGTCGACCTCAGCAATAATTTCAGCCAAGGTTTCTTCACTCAACTCATATCCGAGCATAGCTAAAATAGTTCCTACCATATCAGTGCCGATGCAGCCTTTTTTAGCTTGATCAAACGCATCGAAAGCCTTCTTGAGTACTGAAAATCGTAAATTAATGTTATCTCGATGGAAAGATGAAAGAAATGTCTTTTAACATATCTCAACTTACACGCTATCTGATCCTTGGTCAATTCATCCTGAAAAGTTGACAAATATAATACAATACAATAGAAAAAGTCCACTATTTTTATCGCTCATTTGGATTATTTCAATTGTAATTTTACCATTTTTCACCAAAATTTTAATTCAATCAAACGGGAAAAACTCGGATGAGAATAATTATCAACTGAGAAGACAGTTGCCGATGGCAGTTGGCAATATGCAGAGCTAACTGGCTAGAAGCATCGTTTTTAAACGTTTTCTGTGCTTGAAAATGTTATTCTGGCAAATGCCTACAAATCGAATGCAAGAATTCCGTTTAGATTCAATTTCGTTCTAGTAGTTTACAGATTCATGCGAGGGCACGGATTATACTTTCATCCTCGGTTAGGTCGCGTATGAAAAAATTTGATAGAAGAATCCGGCGCTTTCTTTAGAAAATTCTAATGTGAAGCTATAAGAATACTATTGGATTTCTATAGAATTCTATTGAAAGATTCTATTTGTTTTTGTGACAATTCGATTAAAAGTTATGCAACGGCGCTTCCCATTATTAAACAGATGTTTGGCTATAGAAAAATGTCTATAGATGTTCATTTTTCTGTAGAACTTATTCTGTTGGGATTTTTTCTATAGGAATGCCAAGTTGTTTTTCTTGGATTTTATTACAAGAAGAAAACCTAGCGCTTTCTCTGAAAAATTCTAATGAAAATCTATAAGAATACTATTGGATTTCTATAGAATTCTATTGAAAGATTCTATTTGTTTCGAGCGCCAATTCTATTAAAAGTCATGCAACGACGCTCTCCGTTATTAAATAGATATTTGGCTATAGAAAAATGTCTTTAGATATTAATTTTTCTATAGAACTATTGCGCATGAACTTTCCAATTTTTTTTTCTTGGGTTTCGTTACGAGAAGAGAAAACCTAGCGCTTTCTCTGAAAAATTCTAATGAAAATCTATAAGAATACTATTGGATTTCTATAGAATTCTATTGAAAGATTCTATTTGTTCGAGCGCCAATTCTATTAAAAGTCATGCAACGACGCTCTCCGTTGTTAAATAGATATTTGGCTATAGAAAAATGTCTATAGATATTGATTTTTCTATAGAACTATTGCGCATGAACTTTCCAATTTTTTTTTCTTGGATTTCGTTACGAGAAGAGAAAACCTAGCGCTTTCTCTGAAAAATTCTAATGAAAATCTATAAGAATACTATTGGATTTCTATAGAATTCTATTGAAAGATTCTATTTGTTCGAGCGCCAATTCTATTAAAAGTCATGCAACGACGCTCTCCGTTGTTAAATAGATATTTGGCTATAGAAAAATGTCTATAGATATTGATTTTTCTATAGAACTTATTCTGTTAGGATTTTCTCTATAAGAATTATTGCGCGTGAATTTTCCAAGTTTTTTTCTTGGATTTCATTACGAGAAACAAATAAAAATATAGCGGAAAAAACTTGGAAAATTTACGGCCAAAATTTTACGGCCGGAATTTCTTAAGAGAATTCTAATAAAACTTCAAGGGAATTACTTCCAATAGATTTCCAATAGAAATTCTGAAGAATTTTTTAGAGAAAACACTAGATTTTTCTATAAAATTTCACAAATATATCCAAGTTATCATGTATATACTGAACACTTCCATTATTGTTCTTTCCTATTCTCTTGATTCTACCTTTTTCTTTTTTAATCCCAAAAATCTCTCAAATACCAGAAGTTTCTTTCATCTTCAATTCCAAAATTTCCGCGAGTTGCAACCAATCCCAGCAAACAGATAGGCACACGCTACGCATCCACAAGCGCAATGAACTTTGTTGCATTTTTTTTTCTTCCAAAGGCACAAAAAATTGCACTGGGTGGGTCCCTCGCTAACGTTATGACGTAACGTGGTGCGAGAGTGGACGAATTGATTGCACAACATTTTTTTTATTCATATGAAAATGCCTTAGGGAAGGCTTTATCTTTTGATATCCCCTTTCGATAAAGCTGCTGTCTTATGTCATTGTGTTATACTCAATTGGACTAATGGAATCTTAATCAGCGATATCCCACTGACCTTAATATTTGTTTCTCCTTGATGGACCTTTGCATTACACAACTCTACCCTTTTTACTATTTTCTAATGAACAATGAGTCGCATGTGTTCATTCATACGAACAGATTCAGTTCCAACTGTCTCACGTAATTTAATGAGATTAGGATTAGGTGAATAAGCACAATTTCACTATCGCCCAAATTTATCGTAAATATTCTTTGTTTTGGTTCTTTATTAGTCTCATTTAAATCCATTGATTTCATTATTTTTATTAACGATATTAAAAATGGACATTGTTCCAACAAATGTGAGAAATTGATAGTTAATTAATTTATTAAAGGTAAATAATTTTTTTCGCTCTTCTCTGCATTCGCGACAACCACTTTTCCATTCTTGGCTTGTCTTCTCGATTTAGTCTCGATAGTAAACAGAAAAATTAATGCGTCATAGCTTCCACAAATTCTGAAAAAAGAAATTAAATCATGAGATTGAAGGATAAAAAGTCGACTTGACTCTTCGCTGAGTTTTCGAGGAATATCTCCGAATCTAAGAGAAATAGAGAAATTTTCATTATAACCTTTTTTGTAGAGCGAATTAAGAGCTACAAAAAAGGTCATTACAAAAAATTCGCTATCTTCCATAGGTTCCGAGATATTTATCAAAAACTGGCCAATAGTCTAAATCGACTTGAACCGGTTTACCGCGTCGCTACTGAATTTTTGGAGCTGTAATTGACAAAAAAGAAAACCTTCAAAATCCAAAGTCCCAGAGCCATCAGCGTCGATTTCCTCGATAATCATGTCCAACTGCTCGTCAGTTAAATTCTCGTCAATTTCGCAAAGAATTTCGCGAAAAGTATCTGTTGTTATGTATCCGTTTCCTTCTCTGTCGTACAGCCTGAAAGCCTCTTTTAATTCCGATTTGAGTGCTTCAACATCGACATCTTCTTCCATAAATTTAGCTGCTACTGTGCAAAAGTCTTCGTACTTCAACTCTCCACTCCCTTTCGAACCAGAGAAAAAGCTCACATTAGTAATCAATGTTGTGGAGAGGATTTCGACCGAATTTTTAACTTGTCTTACTTGTGCCAAGAAAATAGTTTATTGAAAATTATCAAAAAGGATTCTGTGCCAAACATGCAGAGAGTGCGCCGGAATGAAAAATTTTTGTCGCAAAAATCGATTTAGTAGTTCAAAAAAAATGCATTCTCTGTACACGCAAGAAATGTCATTTGCCCACACGTATTTTGCTCTCGAAAAATCTTTGTTTTATGCGAAACAAGGGACAGTAGTTTTTCGTTTCGGCTGTCTAATAATCACAGACAACAAATGAACCCTTAAATGAATATTATTATTATTATTATATGTCTTCTGGAGAAAAGAAAATTGTCTTCCAAAGATCTAAAAAAATCGGCTCCCAAATATATTCAAAATTTATCATCTAGAGATCTTTCGAAGTTTTCCCTGAAAGATTTGTCTTCTGAAGAATCTTTCTGGGTCACCAAGATCTTCCACAAACTTCCGAAGATTCTTCCAAGAATCTCTGGGAGATATTCGAAAGACAGAAATTTTCACCAGGCAATCAATAAAAATGAATAATTTTATAAACAACTTTAGACGATGGAATTCACCAAAAGTGTCAACTTCATTAATTGCCTCATCCAATTCGGTCATTGCGTCCGCTTCGACTCCCATCATGTCCAAAATAGTCTGCACTTCGCTCGTTTTAATCACTCCCTTTTTCTCCTTATCAAACGTATCAAAGGCCATTTTCAGCTCTAACAACGAAAAGCAATGAATTAGAGTCAATATTCGGTTTTCATAGTATTAAATGCAATTCTGTCACACTGAAAAATGCTCACGCACGTTTTCGTTGGTCTTTACTCAATTGTCCGGGCTCCTGTAAATATTGCAAATAATTAGAAAATTCCCCAGCGCTTCGCGCCACCCCACAAGCACTCAATCTCACTGTCCCTTACCATTTTCTATAACCACAGATTTATCAACAATTAAAAAACATAAACCGAACAAATTTCCAAAATCGGAAGATCGCTTGCTCTGCGATAGACGACGCACGGTGCGTTAACACTCAATGGTTTTTCGATCGAATGTGAATGTTAAATTAATTACTAATCATTACACCCATCACTGATGCGACACTTGGCAACAGATTGCATTGTTACTATTTAAATAAATAGCGATACAGTGTGCGTCGGTCCAAGATTGATTTGAGATCAATTGAAAAAAGGTCTAGGTTGAGTGATGCAATATCTCTCACTCTCCGATAAATAATATAATGGAAAGAATTACTACGATTATAATTTTTTATTAATAATAGACTAAAAAATTTTCAACTAATAATGTCATTGCTGTAATTTTCGTTTTAATTATTTACTTAGTTTATCAGAAGAAGAAATAAACCCCTGATGAGGGCTTCCCTGGAAGCCGAAGCGTTGGGTCATCGACAAGAATTCTTCTTCTCTTTCTAATTATTTAATTATCCTCGAAGTACTGACGACCGCTTAGGCCAATCAATGTTCACCATAATTCAGCATAAAAAAAAATTTCAAGACACAAAAGTCTTGTAATTTTCTCGTCAAATGCCTCACTCAGTGCCTTTTGTAAATAACTATATATTTTATTTAGCCGATGTAAAAACTCTAAATAATTCTATAATTCCGTAATTTAATGACAAATTATTATTATTTTATTGTATCTTTATGTATTAATAAAATAATAATAATAATAATAATAATAATAATAATAATAATAATAATAAATAATAATAAATACAAAATTAATATTTATAATAATTAATTAACAACAATTAATATTATAATTATAATTATTACTAATTTATTATTGTTAATATATTAATAATAATAAATGTATTTATGTATTTATTATTATTTATTATATTAATTATTATTTATTATAATTAATATTAGACGTATTATTTATTAATAATTGTTAATAATTAATGATCATGGGCTGTGGTTCCTCAGCTTGTTATTACACACGATGCGTTTTTACCATAAATCCTTTACTATATTTGTGTACTCATTTTAGCTTACAGTATTTTAGGATTAGTGGATATACCATTCAACTCATCTAGCTCATTGCCAAAATGACACATGCCCCCTTCCTTCCATTTAAAATCTTTTGCCAATGTTGTAATTGGCCCGTAGTAGTCACCCTGCCGAGACCTAAAAACATACTTTTAAACGTTTGCCCAATGAGATGAAATATCGATACACACGTCTAACATGATAAACATCTGCCTCGACTCAACTTCCACCAAGTAGAGACTTGTTAGCAGCTGCTGTTGGATCTCTCTCCTCTAGCCAACTAAAAATAATCATCACTAAATGAAGACGATTTTCTGCCTTCTAGGTGTGCACTAGGTGATCAGTATCTGGCGATATTTATCTCTAATTATCTTGCTCACGTGGCAATCGCCAAATGAATATTTGTACCAGGTAGCTAGTCTATTTTTACCTGAAAACGTCTTGTATGTTCAACAGTAAAATTCGGGATTGATTTACAACCCGATATTAAATTTAAATATAAAGCCGGAAACGAAGGGTGGAAATTTATTGAAAATCGACATTTGTACTTTTTTTTACGTGGATACGTCTGTTTTCATTATGGGGAGGCATTTAGGGAAAAAGTCCTTAGGGTTCCTTATCGATAGTGGCGCCATCTATCGGAATTCTAGAATATTCTAGAATTCCCTAGAAAAATCTAGAATTAATTAAATAATAATTAAATAATCATTCATTGTCAATCAACTTTATGAAAAAGGATATAAGAATAGATATAATAATATAACAATATATATAATAATATAGTAATATATATCTTTCTATCTCTCTATCCCCTTTAAAAAATGAGAAAAAAAAATTAATATTTTTGAAAAATATAATATATCATATATATAATACATTATATATATATATATATTATAAATATAAATTATATGATGTTGTATTTTTTAAAAAGTTTTTTTAGTTTCTTTTCAATTTTTGAATTAATTTGTTTTTTTTTGTAAATCAAATATGAAAAGTAAAAAAGGTCAGAACAAATAGATAAAATTGAACCGGACATGAATTTGCTCGGAACCATACCTTTGTGCTAAAAGAAACATAGACAATCATACTCTGGGTAAAGGCGCGCGTAGCGCGCCCCATACGCTAGTATAAATAAAAAAATAAGGCGAAAAATTCAGGGGACGCTTAAATTCAGGGGATGCTGGGTGCCTATACGGGGGTTCCTATATGGGAAGGTGCCTGTATTTATAAGGGATGTTCTATATGAGGGGGTGGTCATAAAGAGGATATCTATATTTATGGAGGATTACTATGCTAGGGGGTGCNGGGGGGGGGGGGGGGGGGGGGGGGGGGGGGGGGGGGGGGGGGGGGGGGGGGGGGGGGGGGGGGGGGGGGGGGGGGGGGGGGGGGGGGGGGGGGGGGGGGGGGGGGGGGGGGGGGGGGGGGGGGGGGGGGGGGGGGGGGGGGGGGGGGGGGGGGGGGGGGGGGGGGGGGGGGGGGGGGGGGGGGGGGGGGGGGGGGGGGGGGGGGGGGGGGGGGGGGGGGGGGGGGGGGGGGGGGGGGGGGGGGGGGGGGGGGGGGGGGGGGGGGGGGGGGGGGGGGGGGGGGGGGGGGGGGGGGGGGGGGGGGGGGGGGGGGGGGGGGGGGGGGGGGGGGGGGGGGGGGGGGGGGGGGGGGCGGGGGGGGGGGAGGGGGGTGAAGCCCCCCCTGGGTCGGCGAGCGGAGTGAGCAGGGGGCGAAGCCCCCTAGTAATAATATAATCATATATATAATAATATATATTCACGAACAATTTTTTATGATTCAAGGATACTTGAACGCTCAAGACGCTCCACAGCCTGTGATAAGGTGTTTAAAATTTCCTGTTTAGGATACGGTGGCAAAGGTGGAGGAACGTCGTAACTACTAACACAATTTTTGTTTCTCCATAAACTTCTGCCACTCGGCCCACGTCTGTGGGAAAGCGATTTTCTTATCGAGTCATAGTAATGTCCCTCGAACACTAGATTTCTTGTTCTGCTTATGGGCGTTAAATATTCGGGTCGTCGATGATCTTTAAAATCGCTGCCGCCTCTCTCTTCTTCTTCGTCTTCTACTTTATGCCATAACACACCTTTTGGTAAAATCATGGCGTTCACCTGTCCGCGCTTCACCATAATCACTCTCGGGTTTCCCCTGATCAGATGTGGATTCTTGAGAATTATGAGAAATGAAACAACACCCCCAATAATGAAGGATAAACTTGTTATGAATAAGATGAGGACGATTGTAACTGGCTTGTCATCAGTCTCCAACCAAATTCTGTTTCGGGCGAGTGCGGGGGCCATAGCCAGACAATTCAGGGGTGACGGCCCCCTCATAATGTCCAAGAGGCACACAGTGTAGACAGAATTCTTCTGGACATTATCCAAAATAATCGAGTTGTTCACAGCCGTCAAGCACTCGGTGTGAGAGATTTTTTTATGTGAATTTCTGAACCAAATCAGTCCTTGCGGATTGCTGGAGGCTTCTATGTGAACAAAAACACTGCCGTTACTGTAATACTCCTCAATATAAAACCCTGCTATTTTCGTTGGCAATTGAAAATGCAAAAGTGTATTTTCATTACGAAGAATGCTCAGACAATTATTTTCTTCCGTCAAAGGCTCTGAAGTACTTGCGACACTTGTTGACTCTGGGTCATCACAAAAATCAGCGTCTAAAAAATTTAATCCAGAATTTCTCTCAGGTGTCACACACTTCGGAATATTTTCCAGCAAATTAGGTCTCGATCTAGTCATTCTCTGAATCCACACGAAGGGACAACTGCAATTCCACGGATTTCCACTCATCATTATCCGCAAATTTGAATTATTCAGCAGAATATTATTGAATGTGTTCACGTGAAGCGTCGAAAGCAAATTGTTTCTCAAGTAAATTTGCTCAGCTGATTTTAACGACTGAAAGGCATCCGCGTCAATACTTTTAATCTGCGATGAATCTAGATAAATCGATCGAGCGTTGGGAAAGCCACTGAGGATTTCTGGCGACAATTGGGATATGTTATTCCCCTCCATGGACATCAATTCAACTTTTAATAATTTACTTCCACTTGTCATGTTTCTCAGAACTTGGTCATTTTTTATCGATCCATTCAACTCGATGTCTTCCAATATATCAGCGACATTCTCCAGTAAATTGAATTCCGCCTCTTCCACCAAGTTATTTCGAATCGTCAAGCTTACCAAATTACGAAAGCTTTCAAATACGTATTTTTTCAATTTCTTCACACCTGTATTGATCAATCCTAGACGTTTGGTGTTTTCAAATGCCGATGACGAAAAGGCATTTTTCTCTATATCACTGAGCCCGCAATCTTCGAAAATTAAATCAATAACAGAATATTCTGTTGTCAGCCAAGAGGACTGTAATTTTCCCTCGGGAAAACTGCAATTTTTTAATTTCAACGATGAAATTTGTTTTTCATGTGGACACTGCGTCTGCAAAATAAATTTTTTTTTTAACATAAAAACAATTTTAATATAACATTATTATATTTGATTATAATATCATTTTAATAAATTTTTTTATATTAAAAAAAATATTTAAAACCTATTAAAATAATCTTAATAATAAAATAATAATAATATTAATAATAATAACGTTAATAATATTATTATTAAAAATTACTATTATTATTATTATTATTTATATTAATAATATTATTAATAGTAATAATATTTTTTAGATAAAAAAAAAAATTTAATGTAAGTTTTTTTTTAAATATATCTTTTTTATTATTATTTACATGAAAAATTGAGGATATAAAGTGGGATATGATTATTCCGACATCTTTTTCTTCGGAAATATCCCTGCAGTTGACGGCTCTGCATTCTTCAATACCACAATAATTCGTCGAATTCCATTCTTGATATATGGAATTGAGAACTCTGGAATAATCATCCCTTTGAAAATGAATTTCACTGAAATTTGTGGAAACGAGACTAACAAAACCAACAATAATTCCCGTAAATGCCGCTGTTGCTGTTGCTGTTGGCAATTTCATTTTCTTACCTAATAGAATGTAAATGGAAAATAATTATCGTTATTACGATTCCGAAAGAATGTTAAGGCCAACCGAACTATTGTAATCAATACCAGAACTCACTCATTCTACATATGCATTTGGCAAGAGTTTTATTATTAAAGCTTGTGCATTTTACATTCACAACATTTCACATCAGCACGAAATGCCACAACTAGTGCATTTGGAATTTTCGCACTCGAAGCATGCCACATGTTTCAATGAGTGTTATCTGTCCTTTTCAATTACGCATGGGATTAATTATTTTTTCCGAATTGGCGATAAGAATTGGAGAATAATCCCCAAAGAACAATACTAAAATTTCACTCATTAAAATATTACTATTCCATTATTATTATTATTATTATTACATAATGAGGATAGAAATTGAATTTATGTGTATTCTTCCATTATTAAAAAAAAAATTGATTTTAAAAATTTCCGGAGACAATTTAATTGAAAAATTAATTTTGTAGTTCTTGCCGCCCGCTGTTTTTTGCATTTTCTAAATTTCTTCCCGCTGAAATATTGATATCGCTCCAATACTTGAAGAAAAAAAGTGATTCAAAGCTCCTGCTGACGTAAAAGAGTAAAAAAATCGAGGTTCTGATTTTTTTTCATTTTTTCTTCACAATAATAATTGTTAACTTTTGTTTTGTTGACAAAAAACCTTTTTATATTTATTTTCAATATAATTCTCCTTCATTCGGTGTTGTAACGCGTGGCTCCGCCCCCTGCTCGCTTCGCTCGCCAATCGCGAGTCTTCGCTCGTCCGCTCGCTTCGCTCGCTTCCCCCCATCTCCCTGCGTTCGCGTAAAGATCGGAAATCCCTCGTCTTTATCACATCGATAAATAATGAGTGATAATAACTACATATACAGGCTCGCATTGCCGCATTTACTCGCTTTATTTTTGTGTTATCTTAATTTACAAAATAATTATCTACAGAAATACGAATAAACATGAATAAAATAAAATTAATCTGATTGCGAAGCCGCAAATGGAAAGAAAATAACCCAAAAAAACACCAATACTATAGTTTCTAATATTTATTAATCACGTCTTTCGGAAGTAAGTATTCACCATAACAATAATAATAGTTACAACTATTATAGTCCCACAAATTTGGAAAATTTATAAATAATCATTAATACATATAGATTCTCTTTGAGGAACTAGTGTTTCCAACTAATTATAAATATTTTCGATCTGTAAAATTGGAATAATGGATATTCTTTGTCTAACGTGCCTACTATATGACATTGTCAAATTACGAGAAAAAAGTTGTTATAACTTTATATAATATATTGTTTATAGACATATAATAGGTATGTACGTACGAACCACGAATATTGTTTTGTCTCAGTGGATATATAATATTGTTTACATAATATTCTTATACATTCAAATTTATCGACTCACAATAAATCAGTAAAAATAATGGGAATTTAGTTTCACGTCCAATTGTCGTAATAACGCTGAGTCGTGCGATTGCGATATCTGCGTGATGTCTGCTGAACTAGTTTTTCATTTACCATCTAAAAAACCTGGGTATATATATTTTTTCTCTCTTCTCCCCTGATCATTGGGATAATGGAAGAATGGAAAACTCGAGTCCCCATTCACTTCAGTTTTCGTTTTATTCGTGGGAGAGGGAGGGGTAGGGATTATCATCATTAAAAATACCGACGACTTTTCAAAATCGTCTCAGGATATCTAAATATTTGTCAGTGTAGGTTGATGGTTCTTCATTCGTATCAATTTTTTTTTTCGTTGATAGCTGTAAGCCACCTGTACAAAAATACACGTTCACTAATTTAATTAGTCTTTTATTGATTAGATAACAGGCGCACGTCCAGCTATGACGTCACCGGCAAGTCGATATGTCTCAAAGTGATTACCTTGCAAAAAATGGGAAGGGATATCCTCCCGTACTGTTACTCTATTCTCATAAATTCTCATGAATTCAATGGTGCAGACCGTACAATGATTTTCCAAATTTAATTTCACACTTAATTCATTGCCGACGAATAATTTCACAAAATGTCATTCAGTATTCGTCAAATACTCAATGATAAAATCATTAATAATCACGTGAATGGAGGCGATTTTTTTTTCCCGAATTGCAACGAATTATTTATTTGATAAAACAATGATATGCCTCTTACGTATTCTATATAAATTTATAGGGCCATTATAGAATTGTATTCGGTATATCATCGCTGAAAAAATAAAGGAAAAAGTTTATTGTTTGTTTTGCATTCAGGGAAATAGAAAATATAATCTCACTCCATTGGGGCGAGCATTCAACTTTTCTATTGATCAATGACAAGTCAATAAAACTTGTTCCCTTATCCATAAATAATAATAATAATAATAATAATAATAATAATATAATATAGTAATAATAAGAGATGCACATGCGTGATATAATCTATTCTATTACAATGTCACCTATCTCATCCTCAACAATAATCTTTCTCTAATATAAACATGACGTCAATATGTCTTTTCTTCAACGAATAGGGTATTTTCAAAAATTCTTAAACTCGTATCATTTTAATGTATAATATTTCTGATGATCACTATTGATTTCCCAAAAAAAAAGCTTGGGAATTCACGAGATATGTATATGATTTTTATGGCCACGAGATCCTAAATTCACCTTAAAATTTTACATCAATAATAAGAATAATAATACAATAAAGTACGATATATATTGAATATATCATAAATATATTTTTACTTTCATGGATTAATTTCATGTTTTTGTTTTTTGGTGGAAACACTTTGTTGTTAAATTGCATTAGAAATTAAATTTTACACTGATCATAATCTAAATAAACACATAGCTCTGGTAAAATTGATTATTTAAGACTAATATGATATGTTGTAATTGAGTCGAGTGCATTGATATATAATGTCTTGGTTCAAAACACTTTCCATTAATTTTCATCACATTTACAACTTCCTCTGGATTGTTCGTTAACCGCGATTTATAATGAGTGAAATACTTTCCATAATACCATTATCTAAATTATTATCTCCCATGAATTGTGATATTGTCATGCAATGGAGAAAAGCAGAAAGGACTTCAAACATTGAAACAATGTTTGTTGTAAATGTCGTAAAAACTCGGTGAGTTGCACGGCAATACAAAAGAATAAAATTGGAGTCTTTGAATTGTGTTGCTTTGCACAAAGTGTTCGCTTCCGGTTAAGTATATTACGTTTCATCAAGCAGAGTGTCATTATGTAATTTCCATTCGGCATTGTAAATAAAGGAAATGTGATCCAAGTTGAAGGCAACTCGGGTCCGTAGAAATTTCAATATTTACCACGTGAATTTTCATTTTTGTTTCGTTTTTATCATTATCTATAAGGCATTATTATGGAAAATAATTCAATTTTAGTGATGCCGCGAGACGATGTGAGACGTGACGAGACGAAAAATTGCATCTTATCGTCTCGTCTTGTTGTTAGAATCTCTTGTCTCGTCTCGTCTTGTTGTTAGAATCTCTTGTCTCGTCTCGTCGAGAATTGAGAGATTTTCTCGTCTCGTCTTGTCTCGTTTCGTCTTGCCTCGTCTCGTCTCGTCTCGTCTGGTCTCGTCTCGTCTTGTCTCGCCTCGTCTCGTCTCGTCTCGTCTTGCCTCGTCTCGCCTCGTCTTGTCTCGTTTCGTCTCATGTCGTCTTGTCTTATCTTGTCTCGTCTCATGTCGTCTTGTCTCGACTTATCTCGTCTCATGTCGTCTTGTCTCGTCTTGTCTCGTTTCGTCTTGCCTCTTCTCGTCTGGTCTCGTCTTGCCTCGTCTCGTCTCGTCTCCTGTCGTCTTGTCTCGTCTCGTCTCATGTCGTTTTGTCTTGTCTCGTCTCATCTCGTCTCATGTCGTCTTGTCTCGTCTTGTCTCGTTTCGTCTTGCCTCTTCTCGTCTGGTCTCGTCTTGCCTCGTCTCGTCTCGTCTCCTGTCGTCTTGTCTCGTCTCGTCTCATGTCGTTTTGTCTTGTCTCGTCTCATCTCGTCTCATGTCGTCTTGTCTCGTCTTGTCTCGTTTCGTCTTGCCTCTTCTCGTCTCGTCTCATGTCGTCTTGTCTCGTCTCGACTCATCTCGTCTCATGTCGTCTTGTCTCGTCTTGTCTCGTTTCGTCTTGCCTCTTCTCGTCTCGTCTCATGTCGTCTTGTCTCGTCTCGACTCATCTCGTCTCATGTCGTCTTGTCTCGTCTTGTCTCGTCTAGTCTCGCGTCATCACTATTCAATTCAATCGGAGAAAACTCGACAATTTCTCCGATCCATATTCTACCATAAGTCTTACTTTTGTTGATTTCTTCAGTTCCAATAAAATAATAATCGAGGAAGTTGGAACGCGCTTTTGTGATATGTCTCTGAAATTCGTACTTATCCCCGGTGACCGATAAAACCGGTGTAAATATGCCTACATATAATGACAGTAGAAGATCAAAAGGGAACAAAATATATAATCATAGCCATAAATATGTATTAGCAAAGATCATGATATGTATCGTTAGGGTTAATCGGAAAAGCCTTGTTCTTGTGTCTCTCATGCATTCAATCTCAATGATTGCTCATACCCCGTCGCTCTCGGGATGAGTCAACCATTGACACATCTCTCTTTCATTTTTATCACATAGCCACTATTGTTTATTACTAAAAATCCATCAACAAAATAGAAGGTCGATAACTTATGTGGCTTTCGATTGTCAAAGTTTTCAATAAAAAACGGACAAGTTATTCGAAATCGATAGAGAAATAATATTAAAAAAAAAACAAAAAAACAAAAACAATGTGTCAAATGATTCGTAAATTGTTGAATCGTTGATTATAAAAAACGAAGGGGGAGAAATTACAAGAGGATTAGAATTCCAACAGTTATAAACACTTGAATAACGTCCAAAAAGGGGTGGAAGGAAATAAATCCGGAGGACGCTACTCGGCCGGCGTTTTTACCAACGCAGCCCATTTTTTCCAGCGGAATATTTTGCACTGCGTATTCACGGTTGTCCTGTATCATCGTACAGACAGTCCGTTTTTTGGACATTATGTCGTCATCATTGTCCTGGAGATTCTTCAACCAGCCTGAGAACCACTGGAGGTCGCAGGTACAGATCAACGGATTGTCTGCAATTCAATGAAAATTCAGGGATGTAACGAATGATAATTTTATAATATTCAAAATCATCAGCATTTTCATCAACCCACCAGTTATATCGACCATTGTCAACGTATCAATGACCGTCTCCGTGATTTCCTCGGGTATCTGGGTCAACTTATTATTCTGCAGATTGAGTATTTGCAGGGAATTTAAATTTTCAAAAATCATCGGGGGTAAATGTTTAATTCTGCAATGAAAAATTACGGCTCATTTGCAAGTGTCGAGGCTTTGAATTTGTTGGAATTGATGATTTTGCTTACAAATTTCGTTGGAGATTTAGGAAAGTTATCGAGTCACCGTAACCGGTGAATGCGTCCTCAGGTAAAATAGTGATGTTGTTCGATCTCAAATCCAAATGTCGAAGGCGGTGGAGTCTGCGGAGGGCGTCACTGGGTACGGCGTGCAAATTGTTGTCCCCGAGTCGAAGGTATTGAAGATTTTCTATGCAGAAATTATTTTTTCTTCAACGTTAGAACGTTTCAGTGGCGAAGTGGTAAAATGGTTCAAGTCGACTCATCTCCCAGTTGAGTTTTTGCGGAATATTTCCGAATCTGAGTGAGATAGCGAAATTTTCGTAATTACATTTATTGTAGCTCTCAATCGGCTCTACAAAAAAGGTTTTAACGAAAATTTTGCTATCTCCTTTAGATTCCGAGATATTCATTGAAAACTGGTCAACAGTCAAAATTGACTTGTACCGTTTTACCACTTCGCTACTGATGTCTATCTTCGTTGCTCCTGTACTCAGGATCTGAGGTAGTCTCTGTTTAGATTTCCGCATTTTACTAATAGATCACTTAGTGATGTTCACTTTAATGCGAATTTTATGGGAAATAAAAACTAATGGAAGATAAACCTAACAGAATTATTTTGTAATATTTTGTATTATCTTTCCCCTTTATGCAATAAACATTGTTATTATATTTTTTAACTATTCATTAACAATAATAAAAAGCATTCAAATCTGCAGATGAATAAAGGGCAAATAAATGGATCGCTTATGTAATAAATATTATTACTGTATTATTATATTTCTTCAATATAATATTCATTAGCGATGAAAAAAGGTGTAAATAAAAAATCAAATGGGACGATCCAAACTGTCTCTCACCCTCTAACCCGATAAATGCATCAGGATCAACATGAGTGATGAGATTTCCATCTAGTTCCAGAGAATTTAATTGCGTTAGATGGGAAAATACACGTGCTGGCACCTCACGTATATGGTTGTGCGCTAACACTAACGAATCGAGTCCCTTCAGACCTGAAAAATGCACATGTATTCATTATTTACTAATTTTCCATCATAATTTTAATCCGCGAAAATATCATCTTGATAACTTGAAGCATAATTAATTTTTTTCCACGTCAACTCAATTCGCGATGTTTTCGCCGCGGTTTTTTTCATTTTCACGAGATCTCTAGAAAGGTGATGAATTACGCTCTGCCTATTTACGAGTTCCTCAAATGATATATCCTGGTGAGATTAGTCACGGCAGGATTGCCCTGCACTGACAATTTTTTTCTCAATTAATTTTTTCGTCGAGCGCGGTTAGCGAGAATGAACCCAGCGCTCGCCGGGCGATCACTCGCAGTGGAAATTTGACGGGCGGTGGTGCCGACCCTCGTGGTAGTCCCAAGTGGCGGGTGCGGAGTGGGGGGTCGCTGGCCGGTGATATGTTTATAGTGTCGGATGACTCTGGCAACGCTGCGCTCGAGAGTGCGGACGGCGCAGCGCTGACCGCGCGGCCAACGCGTTCGGCGAAGACGTGCGACTACGGGAGGGTTAACCCCTCACGTACGGCGCCCATACAACGCGGATTATCCCAATGGCAGGGAAACTTACGGCGCGTCAACTCCGTTATGCAATGAACGATAACTTGAAAACAGTCGAAAGAAAAAAATTGAAATAAAATGCATTGGCTGTTACTGCGAGACTTAGGGCGACTGAAAATTCTCAACTGAAAAATTTTGTCGGCCATCTTCCAAGCTTCAGCGCCGCCACTCGCCAATTTAACATCGCGAATTGGCGGATTATTGAAAAAAACCGTTAAAAAACGAGGATTTAACGATGATATTGAGTGATACCTGCAAAATCCCCTTCTGTAATCGACGAAATTTTATTCTCTTGCATTTCCAATTTCTTCAGAACATCAAGAGATGCCAGTGCCACTGTTGGAACATCTGTCAATAGATTCCCTCCCAAGTTCAAGCGTTTGAGTTTGCGGCTGAAAATAAAGAGTGATAAGAATTTATTTTATTGGCCATCGAGTAGGTGTGGAAGGTCATGAATTCCTTTACTCATCAAGGCCAGTGAATGCATCCTGCTCGATAGTAGTGATTTTATTTTCGTAGAGATTCAAAATCTCCAGTGTGTCTAATCCGGCGAATGAGCGACTTCGAAGATCTTTAATTTTGTTTCGATTTAAATTAAGAATCATCAGTGAATGGAGATTGGCTAGAGCTGCTGATGGTACAGCCACCAGGGAATTTTGCGAGAGGTCCAATTGTGTTAATCCTTTACCTGCGAATCAGTTTTAATCGTCAGAAATATTCAACATTTTCTCATTCGTTCCGGACGAGAAAAAATGAAAAATAAATTCAACCCTCCTGAACTGGCGCTCGATGCCCACCCGAGTCCACTGACTCGGGTGGGCAACGCGCCGCCCGTGCTACGGTTAGCGCGGTGTTGCCACATTGGAGCGCTATACGTGAATAAAAATCTACACTGCACACATTTTTCTCGAATTAAACACCATTGATGCTCTAAAAAAAATTAATTCACGTTTTTTATGAGACGCCAAACACGGCACGTGATAGAGTTGTTGACGTTCCTAATATGTCTGAACTGAAACGATCGTCGTGGCAACAGCGCCGCTAAAAACCGACTACACGAGTCCGCTGGCTCCGGGCGGCGAGGTGCCGCTTTTCCGTACCAGTCTCACTAAATTATTATTTTTCATGGTATTCATGGAGTTTTCAAGGGATAGGAATCTTACTAGTCCATTCTAGAGGGTATGAACTAGGCATTGTAATTTTTACAAATTTTTTTGTGGCGCGAGCCACAACGGAATTATTATAATATCTCGAATTTCGATTAACGCGTCTCGAATATTCTCTATTGTCGTATTCGTGACAAATATCATCCTATCCTTATTCCTCACGAAATTTCTGGACAATTCTCGAACCTTCCGTAATAAAAGGTATATAAACCCTCGTATTCCCGACCAAAATGTTCAGTCCGATACCGAAAAACGATGTAAACACATCTCTTTAAATCTAAATACAAACGTCTTTATTCCAGAACCACGAGTTATTATTGTGTCTCTATACACCTAACCGCCACATTTTTCATACATAATTTTGCATGCAACAAGAAAAAATCGAGGAAAGGCGGCGCTTTGCTCATTGCGCCAGTTCAGGAGGGTTAAAAGAAATGAGATGCTCCTACAGCGGAGAATTGAAAGACAGCTGCGGAATTTACCGATAGAACTGAGAGAAGTCTCTTCAACTGCGGCCAGTGTGCTGTTGTGTATTGTCAGATGTTGAACAATGAGTCCCAGAAAAATGAATCCCGGCAGTTTCGGCAAATTATTATGTCGTAACTTCAGGTATAAAATTATCGTATTTTGCTGGCCCTTCAGCGCTGTCATAGCTGTACTTATGTGGCTGTGATCGGTGTATTCGCATATTATATCGAGCCCAAGTTTCTTAACTGAACACCAACACGGTTTTATTGATGCTGGGGGCGGACAATGCTGGGATGTTTGTGCTTTAACTACACCCATCACTGTCCACAACAGCCAGAGACGACTACATATTCTCATATTTGTTTTCATTTTTTCCGGCACTTTATCACGAGTTTCAGACGACGTCGTCACCTTCCGGAGGATCGATTTATTCCCTTTTTGGTTTTTTTGGTTTTTTTTTCTGGGGGTATAATCAACTACTTGGAGTTACTCTTGATTATTTCCATGTTGCTCACTTCTCTGCAACAAAAATGAGAAAATGAGAAAAGGTTTAGTAAAATTTAACTTCTTAGAAACTGAGAAAATCTTGGCGGAATGGGCTCTGGTGATGGGGATTTTCACTCGTCGAAGGAGAAAATATTTGGCAATACTGCACTGTTGAAAATTTTCGGCGGAATTTCCCATGCGAAATTCAGGGAATTTTTATCGTGCTCAAGTTCCAGTGAAATTTCAGGAAATTTTGTCATTGAAAAATCAAATATTCCATTGATTTTATGTTAAAATGATCTGAAAATCAATAGAATACTCGATTTTTCAATTGTTCTGTGAAAATCCAGAAAATTCTGGGAAAAATTGAAAATTCATGTCGCTTTGTTTCTGAATATTCATGTTCTACTGAAAATTCATGAATTTCCGTCAAGTTGTCAAATTACACGGAGAGAAAAATCCAATAGAATGACCAGAAAAAAAAAGTAAAAATTACATTTCGAAACGTAAATAGATACGGGCGTAACAGTATGACGAACACTTTTGAAATACATTGAATACATAAAATACATTTGCTTCCCATTCTATTTTCTTTGTTATGAGAATGAGAAAGAAAATTTACCTGCGAATTTTCCACGTGTAATACCAAAATCCATAAAATTGAAGGGAGAAAAAAACAGATGCATAATTGATCACTATTTTTACGGAATTGAACTGAACATCACTTTAAAATCAATGAAAAAAACATTTCAATAAAACGCACAATTGATTAACAGTCAACTGACATCACACATTAGAAGAACTTAACAATCTGGTGCACCATTTTAATTCCTCATTTTGGGATACTGAGTAAAAATTTATCATGCGATAAAGTAATTCTTAAATAATTATAGTTAAATAATTATTCAATAATTATTTAAAAAAATTAATTAACTATTTGATTTAATTTTTTTTCTTATAATTATGAAATAATTATTACTAAATAATTATTTTTTATTATTATTTACATGCGATGTTTTATTTCCTATTCATTTTCATTACTTTTTGCTTCACTAAATCAACACAGCGCGATAAACACCACTAAAACCCCCAATTAATCGATCTTCCGGTCATTTGTAAGTGTCGAATTTCCCTTTTAATTAATGATTCAGAATGAAACTGTCTGCATTATTTAGGGTATATAACTAGTGCCGAGTGGAGCAAGGTACTGTTAGCTTTGTGCGCTTTAACCGGGTGGCCCGTGTTGTGCACAGGTCTTCGCATCATCCATTCCCTTGTGGGCAACCTAATGGACAGCTTCCGGTTTCGGGGAATGATGGGAGTTAAGCATTAAGTTATCGAATACATAGGGTATAAGCATATCTATAACTTTTCTCATTTCTTTTCTCTTTTTTTATTATTATTCAAAGTTGCTGGCACGCGTGAAAAAATTCAATAGAAAACCTAGGGAATTCTGCTGGAATTCTATTGGATATTCGATAAGAAAACGTCAATAGATTTCCAATTTCCATTTGAATTTTTCTCTTAGATTTTTTCTGTTAGAATTATTGGCCGCAAATTTTTTTCCTCTGGATTTTGTTTCCTTTTGTATTGCAGAATAAGAGTGCAAAAATGGAGAAAATTGATGTCCAAGCATTCTTATAGAAAAATGTCAGGAGAAAAACTCAAACAGAAATTCGAAATCTGCCGACTTTTTCTGATCGAATATCTAGTAGAATCAGCGCAAAAAACAAATAGAATTTTTCAATAGAATTCCAGTAGAAATTCTGCAGAAATTCCATGAAATTCCTATAGAATTACAATAGAATTTTCTAGCGAATTCGCATCGATTCACTAAATGAATATTATTTACTCAAATCATCTGCAATCCGAGCTTGTGCTATTGAAAATCTCTTCGTTGCTTTGTCACTGTTAATGTCGGTGGCGCATTAATGCCTATGAATGGAATATTTCAAGAGCCTCGTAGTCACTATTATGCGGAGAAAAAAAGAAACCTAGCGAGGGCGTAATAAAAGCAGAGGTGAACAATGCTGCCTGTTTTTTATTTTTATGGCTGAATAACTGGGTATGCGTCAATATCTTGGCAATTGTTTGTTGATGAAACGAAGAGGCCAGCTCTGTAAAAATAAATGGCAATTCTCCCTATTTCTCTCCTGCATTATCAGCGTCAGAAATTAGCTGAGTAATCGACATTCCAATCGACTTTTTCTTATTGAGTATCCAATAGAATCAGCGCAAAAAACAAGTGGAATTTTTCAGTAGAATTCCAAGGGAAATCCTATAGAAACCCCAGAGAATTCCTATAGAATTCCAATAGAATTTTCTAGGGAATTCGCTAGGTTATCTAGTGAAGTTTTTCATGCGTGTATTAACGACAATTTATAGGAGTTGGGGTTCTACGGAATGGGCTTTGTGTAATTTCATGTGGAATTCCATATGGAATTTCATATGTAATTTCATAAATTGCATAAATTTCATAAATGTCCCTAGAAGGTGGAATGAGTCGTAAGGAATGGTCTTTGTGTAATTTCATATGGAATTTCATGTGTAATTCCATATGGAATTTCATATATAATTTCATAAATTGCATAAAATGCATAAATTTCATAAATGTTCCTAGAAGGTGGGATGAGTCGTAAGGAATGGTCTTTGTGTAATTTCATATGGAATTTCATATGTAAATTCATAAATTGCATAAAATGCATAAATTTCATAAATGTCCCTAGAAGGTGGGATGAGTCGTAAGGAATGGTCTTTGTGTAATTTCATATGGAATTTCATGTGCAATTCCATATGGAATTTCATATGGAAGTTCATATGGAATTTCATATGTAAATTCATAAATTGCATAAAATGCATAAATTTCATAAATGTCCCTAGAAGGTGGGATGAGTCGTAAGGAATGGTCTTTGTGTAATTTCATATGGAATTTCATGTGCAATTCCATATGGAATTTCATATGGAAGTTCATATGGAATTTCATATATAAATTCATAAATTGCATAAAATGCATAAATTTCATAAATGTCCCTAGAAGGTGGGATGAGTCGTAAGGAATGGTCTTTGTGTAATTTCATATGGAATTTCATGTGCAATTCCATATGGAATTTCATATGGAAGTTCATATGGAATTTCATATATAAATTCATAAATTGCATAAAATGCATAAATTTCATAAATGTCCCTAGAAGGTGGGATGAGTCGTAAGGAATGGTCTTTGTGTAATTTCATATGGAATTTCATGTGCAATTCCATATGGAATTTCATATGGAAGTTCATATGGAATTTCATATATAATTTCATAAATTGCATAAAATGCATAAATTTCATAAATGTCCCTAGAAGGTGGGATGAGTCGTAAGGAATGGTCTTTATGTAATTTCATATGAAATTTCATGTCATTTCATAAATGGCATAAAATTCATAAATTTCATAAATGTCCCTAGAAGGTGGGATGAGTCGTAAGAAATGGTCTTTGTGTAATTTCATATGGAATTTCATGTGTAATTCCATATGGAATTTCATATGGAAGTTCATATGGAATTTCATGTATAATTTCATAAATTGCATAAAATACATAAATTTGTACTGTTCTTGTCGTTGTTATATTCTACAATAATATTGGCTAAACGGAGTTTTAAGAACACTCAAGATACACGAAGAGGGGTGAAAATGAAAAGTTGGGATCGCGTGAAACGTGACTCTATAAAAAGGGGCTGAAGTAGAGCGGATATACGTGTCACGAATGATGTTAAAAATTTCAGGGCATTTTCATTCAAATGAACTACTGTATCAACGATTTATTTTATTCCAAATGAGCAGAATGTTTTTCTTCAATTTCGTATTCTTCAATATTCTTCAATTTCATATTTCACCATTCATAACAATTAGTTTTATTAGGAAATTATGAATGAAAAAAATTATTATTTTACACTATTATTACTGATTTCTATGTAAAATGGGATTTATCATTGTGTTGAATCCTCAGGTCGGCCTTCTGCATCATTCAACATTTCCAAATGTTTTCCATTGATTTTCGAATAGCCACTATTCTTCTTTGATACATATACTCCCATTGCGCTTTGTTTTCGTCGAATGTACTGAAAAGGGGAAAAATACAGACATCGACACCGTAATAACAGACAAGCGTATCTGCATAGGGAACTCATAGCAGTTACGTTTGGCTGTTGTTAAGGGGTCGGTATATATGTGGAGCCGTGAAAAATATTCGCTCGATGGAAATTTTACGCGGTACACTCCTATTTCACCAGTATCCTCCCAATTTTTTTGATTATTCTCATCTTTCTGCCATTTTCAGTATTTTCTGTTCGTTGTATCGTACCCCAAGTATCCCCGGTCCCAAGACTGCACGAAACAATGAGTCGTATCCATCAAGTGTCGAGTTTTGAAATCAAAGTTTGCGGTTTGAAATAGTATTGTAACGTTATGTTATTCAATTACTGCACTCTTATCAGTGGCATTCACGGCATTGGGCTAGTTCTGGAGAACAATACCGAACACCTGGAACATGAACGATGCTGCATGTTATCACGTGTAACATGTTTCATAACTATCAAAGAGATATTCACTTCGAGTTAGGCCCAGTTGCACCAGCTCCGGGTAACGAAAACGTCAGATAAGAAAAAAAGGAAATTTCGGGGTTCGATGGATTATTTTACCCGGGAGAGTATCTCAAATTTATCCCAGGAACAAAAAATAAAATTTAATTCCAGGGTTAAATCAGGGTTCCTTTAATAAAAAATTCAGTGTGACGTTTTTTGAAATGATTAAACACTGAATAAACAATTATTAAATATTTATTAAATGTAAATAAAAAATTATAAAATATTAAAATTATAAAAGAATATGAAATAAAATTAATAATTAATTTTATTAATTAATAAAATATTTATTAATTGATTAAAAAACCAAAAGAAAATCATTATTAAAATAATTATTTTTGTTCCTTTTTTCATTTTTATTGATTTTTTTTATTTAATTATATATATATTTTTTTTTTATTATAAAATTATATTAAATATTTATTAAATATAAATAGTTATTTATACAATATTTAAAAAAATTGAAATTAAAATTTAAAATTTAATTTTTTAATTAAAATTCAAATTTATTTTTTAAATATTTATATTTAATAAATATTTAATAATTATTAAATAGTTTTGTAGTAGAGGGCGCAGAACAGTTCGATTTTTTCAGTCTATCTAATAGATTATACTTCTTTATCTTTCGAATTCATCCATTTTTTAAATTAATATAAATAATAATTTCAAAAAACCGTTACAAAGGTGATGAAACATTTTTTTTTGCTAATGATATACTTATGGAATTGGTAAATGGATTTGATAAATGTAATTATTCACAGAGTTGACCGGAAAATGAATGCACGAATGGAAAATTTAAACTTCTTCCATATTATAAACTTTCAAACGGATTTCTTTTCCCCTAAGATTTCCGTAGCGTTAGCACTTTCGTCAGCTTGGCTGGGCATTTCATCGATTTTTGTCCCCATAGTTACATGCGTAAAAGCTTGAATCCACATCAGATCAAAATTTCAGTCTATAATCGGTGGAATCTCACCAACTGTCAAGACAACATTATTAACGGTCCACTCCACTCGTTCTTTTGTTATCAACAAATTTATATTTCGTTTTCATAATCAGCTAGTTCTTCCCATGGTTATAGGAATATCCAGGGTGATGGCAATTTTCAGACAGAAATTATAGAATTTTTTTTAATTTTCATTTTCACAGGGAAATTTTTTCAAAAATTGAAAAGAATAAGAAAGAAAAATGCGACGGTTTTAACGAGGAATCTACAGGTAGTCTTTAGAGGTTGAGTCCTCCCGTGACGTCCAAAGTCCGATACTCGTTTCCATTTTGTTTTTTTTTCGTATTGTCACAAAAAAATTGGGTGAAAGGAGCTTCTAAGATATTTAATGTAAAGAATTAAATTAATTATGAGGAACAATGAAGGTGAATTGATAAATTGGTCTCGTGTAATCTATAGGGATTATGGACTCGACACTTAATGAATAATAAATAACTATTAAATAATCCATAATCCCACGCACGAAAAAATTTTGTAGACAAAACCTAGGGAATTCGATTTTTCTAAATATTCTTCTCTTTAGATATTTTCAAATTTTTAAGTTTTTGTTCATTTTATTTTTCATTTCTTCTCATCAAGAAAATTCAACAAAAAAGTCGGGAAATTTGGGCCGCGGAATATTCTATAGTAAATATTTCAATAGAATAAATTATATTTTTTATTTTCAATTTGATTTTCCTGAAACAATTATTCTGTTTAGATATTTTTCATAGAATGTCCTCGGCTCAAATTTTCCAAGTTTTCATTTAATTTTTCTCTTCTTCTCATCAAGAAAATCATACAAAAAACTTGGAAAATTCGAGCGGAGGAAATTTTCTAGAAAGATCAAATTCTATAGACTTTTCTAAAAATATTTTCTATTGAATATTTCAATAGAGGCGGCCAAAAACTAACAGAAAGTTCAATAAAGACCGAATAGAATTTTTTATTGAATTTGTTACGTTTTTCTATTAAATTTTTTCGTGCCCTCGAGTGTCTGAAGTTTGAAATGTCTCCATGAAAGCCCCATTAGATAAACTTCAGTACCCATTTCAGTAAATCTATCTCAAATGCTAACGAAGAAGAATGTCTTCAATCTCCTACTAGTTCCACATTAAAGCAGGACGAGAAAAATCGATGAATTTTGAAAATTGCTCATAAAAAATTTGCACATTCGCACATTAAATGAATAAAAAAATGCCCAAAAAAATTATTGATAGCGAACATTGGAGACGTTGACTCCTGGGATGGCCCGCATGCCTTAGAACAAACACAGTATCCCCTCGTGTTCGCGAATTAAATAGTTCAACCTCGTCCATTCACTGTCAAACAAACTTAGAAAATCCCAATCTCCTCCAGAAATGTCGATACTCAACGGAACAAACTCGGGAGATTTGTCTCCCCGAAAATAATTCGCTGCTTCCCTGCCACAATCACCGGATTAAAAATCGAGTACAGATTAATCCACCAAAATCGAGGGACTTATTTACAATTCACTGCGGAGACCACTTGTTACGCATGTATGCCTCGTCCACCGACATTTTTCTAGGCATGGTCAATGTTCTCCGCCAATACTGTTAATATTGATCAACCCCACCGAATATTCCGAAAAAAATTCTAAAATATTCCTCCGACGCGTAAAAAACCGGAGAATTCAATTGAAAATAACGCGAGAGAATGCGACACTCCCCGAGCCATGTGAATCTATAAAAAAACGAGCGTAAAAAATCCCCCGTGAAAGAAAAATCCGCAGGAGAAAGAATCAAATTTCCGAGGAAGCCGTACGCATTAAAAAAAAAAGGTAAAAAATGCAAATAAAAAACTAAAATTGACGTGCACTAAACGCTCTAGTTGAGGCTTTTTTCCAATGAAGATCACATATCTGGAATTATTGATGTTCAACTGACCTTTAGTTCTCTCCAATTCCAAAATAAATGTGTTCCAATAGTCGCCGACTGCGCGAGTAGTTGTGAAAGAAAAATAAATGAAAAAAAAATCAGCGCCGAAACACGTAAACCACAAAGGACCTCCCCGTTAGTTCCTACTTCCTGTTGGCACCCACAATTATATTCTACTCTATTCCCAGGTTCTACACTCGTGCACTAGTAATACCTCCAATATCGAAATAGTCACGGAGCCGCTGAGGCTGGTGAAATAGTAGGGATGGAGCGCGCGATTACACGGCGCCGGCGCTTTTCACCCCCTGGACTTGCGCCCTCGCAGGAGAAAGCCCCCGTATTCTCCTTGGGGGATGTATTACGAAGAAGGAAAATCACAAAGAGAGCACACAGATGAATAAGATGATAAATATTAACTCGTGTAATCTTGCGCCGGTTCAATATTGTCATTTTCCCCCCTCCCGCCATCTAATTTCATTTCATCATCCCAACAAATTGACTCGACGTACCTGCGTTTGTGAATTTGGAAAAATTCCTGAATGTCGGTACTGGAGGATATTAGACGGAGTACACCTGCTAGGGTCTTCAGGGCGGGGAAAGAGAGGGGGCAAACTGGGTCAATACTGACTTTTTTCCCACCGGTACTTATTTTCCGTCGTTCCCTTACTGTTGTCCTTGTTAATTTACATCTGTCTGAGAAAGTTACGCCCTTTATTTCAGCGGCGAAGGGGTAAAACGGTGCAAGTCAGTTTTGACTGTTGACCAGTTTTCAGCTTTTTGGAGAGCCGAGTGAGTGCTGCAATAAATGTAATTACGAAAATTTCGCTGTCTCGATTTAAACAAAAATTGTGAAATTAGCTATGGAATTACATATGAAATTATGCAATGTCCATTCCTTACGACTCATCCCATCTTCTAGGGACATTTATGAAATTTATGAATTTTGTGAAATTTATGAAATTTGTGAAAATTATGAAATTTATGAAATTTATGAAACTTATGAAATTTATGAAACTTATGAAATTTGTGAAATATATGAATTTTGTGAAATTTATGAAATTTATGAAATTTATGGAAATCATGAGATTTATGGAATTTATGGAATTTATGAAATTTATGAAATTTATGAAACTTATGAAATTTATGAAACTTATGAAATTTGTGAAATCTATGGATTTTGTGAAATTTGTGAAATCTATGGATTTTGTGAAATTTATGAAATCTGTGAAATTTATGAAATTTATGAAAATTATGAAATTTGTGAAATTTATGAAATTTATGAAATTTATGAAATAAATGTCCCTTAGATTCGGAAATATTCCTCAAAAACTCAACTGGGAGATCAGTCGACTTAAACCCTTTTACCATTTCGCTACTGATTTTTATTTTTGTATCATGCGTGAAAATAAATACCAGTAATTACGATCAGGAAAATACTTATCCTGTGAGTCGAATGCCAGGTTCACCTTCCACACATGCACGCATGAAAAAATTCAATATGAAAGGTTTGCGAATTCGTTAGAAAATTCTGGTGGAATTCTCTAGAAATTCTATTGGGAATTCTCGTTAAAATTCTATTTGTTTTTTGCGAACAAAATAGAGAGAAAACTTAGAAAATCCGTGTTCAATAATTTCAATAGAAAAAATTTCAAGAGAGAAATTCATTCGAATAGAATTTCTAGAGAATCCCAATAAAATTTTCTAGCGAATTCCTTGAGGTATTCAGTTAAATTTTTTCATACGCGTGCACAAACAGAATCGATAGATGAATGAGAAAAGAGAATGGCCAACGCCTACTTCTCGAATAGACAACAAGAGATGTTTATTTTGTCATTATCACGTTTGCATAAATTTAATTTCGGAGGGTCTACATGTTGAGGCGGAAGAGATCGGAAATAGAAATAAAATTATCCATATCAGTTTCCATTTCCATTTTTTCCTCGATAATCTGCTAAAGTATAGCTTTATTTATTCAAATATAAGTCATTTGCATGTCTGAAGCGTATGGATTTTGTTAATTTCATACAAAAATTATTCAACTCACTGTGAGAACTGAAACAGTGCATTGGAAACAATATCATCATCGGTATGTCATCACTATATAATTTCTATTTCTTCATTCGCAGGGTCAAATCATTATCACACAGTTGGTAAATAGCAGGCGATGAGTGCGTAATGAACTGAGATTTTTCCGTCTCTAATCGATTCAACAATTGCTACTAAAATATGACAATCACCCGTCTTTCCCTTCGTCTCACAGTCAATAATTCCTGCAAGCTTTACAGAATGTAGGCCCTCATGATTCTATTCGTTTCATTTCAGTAGCGAAACGGGAAAACGGTTTAAGTCGATTTTGGCTACTGGTCAGTTTTCAATGAGTATCTCGGAATCTAAGGCAGATAGAACATTTTTTGTTAGAACCTTTTTTGTAGATCGAATTGAGCGCTACGAAAAAGTTAGTTACGAAAATTTCGCTATCGTTCTCAGATTCGGAGATATTCCTCAAAAACGAAGCTGAGAGCCGACTTAGTCGACTTAAATCGTTTTACCGCTTCGCTACTGATTTTTAAAAATCGTATTCTCAACTTTCATCGTCAACGCAAGAAGGAAAAACAACAAATGGAGAAATATAAAATAATGAGGAAGCTGACTTGTAGAAAATATAATTCATCTAATTACACAACATCTCATGTGTACTCTGATAGGATTCTAGGAATCTTCCCCCCCGGACAAAATTCCCCTGGACAATATCTCCGAAAATTGTGTCCGGGGGATTTTCTCCGGGGGAAAAGATTCCGACTACCCTCTGATATTAGATATAGTTTTTATACTTGATTTATTTAAATTCGATAATGGAGAACTATACTCGAATCATGTTTGACTAAGAAAACTATTATTCTTAGTGATTAACCCCGCGCTGCTCTCCGACAGAGGTATAACAGCTGTCTTTTCGCCGGATGGTATTTTAGTTCGTGACTTGACATTTGGCTTTATTCCCTTGAGGAAATTCTGTAGAAAAAAAGCAATCGATATTATCGAATAAATCCATGAATTAATGTATCGCTGTAATTTGCCAAATTACCTCTTTTATTGATCCTGGTGTTGCAATGAGGTAATAAATTGCGTAAGCCGGTATCCAAATCATCGAGGAAAAGCTCAGACAGAACCCGATAATTTCCGCCCAAGTGGGATACTCGTATTGACTTCCGTACTTCAGTGGTTTGTATTGAACACATTGGAAGACGAAAATGAACTGAAGTCAGTAGAACGTCAGGTTTTTTTTAGATTTCCGTTACAGTGAAAAATGAAGGAATTTCATCAACGAATCGACAAATAACAACTTACTGCCATAATTATGGGTGCGAACAGTACCCAACAGATGTACCAAAATCGGTGCAGCTTGATTCCCATCATTTGGTGTATACAATCACAAAATTTTTGAGCTCCAAAAATCCAGGATATCGCGATAGTTTGGAAGAAACACACCCAAAGTATTGACATACCACTTGCAGAGTAGAAATCCATCAATTGAAAAATGTAAACGCCCCCCTGAAATTAAATCGAGTCATCTTTCCTCCTTCATCATCGATACCGCACTTTTCAGTGAATATCTCGGAATCTGAGGGAGATAGCTGAATTTTTGTCAGGACCTTTTTTGTAGCGCTCAATTTGCTCTGGAAAAAAGGTCATTACGAAAATTTCGTTATCTCCTTTAGATTCGGAGATATCCCTCAAAAACTCGACTAAGAGATGAGTCCACTTGAACCGTTTTAACATTTTACTACTGAATTTTAATGACAGAACCCACTCACGTGAGTGACCATGGGAATCCCCAGGAAGAACATCAAAATGCAGATGGCTATTGTAAATTTATTTCTGTGCGGTCTCAAGGAGTCCGACCAGTTATCAACAACTCCAGTGATGAACGATTCGACAATACAAAATTCGCTGTCAATTCCCAGAATCTGAAACATTCGATGAAAAATATTACATTTTACGGTGAGCGGAGAGAAGTATTCAGTAAAAATTACGGAACAATTCATGTAATCCGCGCTGGGGAATCGTTTTCCGGGAATTTTTATGGGAATGGAAGAGAAGAAATCTGAAACGTTCAGGGAATTTTCAGGTTCATCACCAAAAAAACTACGAAATTGTAACGTAATTTTTCCCGAAGAAGTAAAATCTTCCAGAAAATTCTTGAACGTTCAGAAATTTTTATGAAGCTGGTGAGTTATTTCTCCGTCAGACGGCTGTTTAATTTTTACGGAACAAATCGTTCCGACCCCCACATTTTATTGAATTTTACTTCGCTCGTAGATTCCGTCTCGAACCGTAACTTAACGTTATTTTCTGGTAATTTTCATTGAATTTTTCTCTCCATGTGAAAACATCAAAGCACCGACTTACAATGAGCATAATGAAGAATATCCCAGCCCACAACGGTGCGCCGGGTAGTTTGAGTACAACTTCAGGATAGGTCAAGAAAACAAGACCAGGGCCACTCTTAACAACTTCCGAGACCTTAGTATTCTGTTCTAACGCAATGTGTCCCAATATCGAAAACGTCACACAGCCGGCGATCAAGCAGGTCAACGTATTGACAACGCAAGTGATGAGCGCATCCCTGAAAGATAATCAGCAGAAAGTGGCATTCAAACATTCGAGAATGAAATTTTTCTCATTTACTTGTAGCAATTGTGATGAAATTTATTGTACGATCCCAACGCCGGGAGCGCTCCAGTGCCGATGCTGTAGGCGAAGAATATTTGAGTAGCACCGTCGATCCATGGACCCGGTGACAATAATTTTTCCCATCTTGGAGTCACGTAATAGAGGAGTCCTGCACCGGCCCCCTCCAGGGTGACAGCTCTTGCCAAAAGAATGAAAAGCACGACGTAGGGAAATAGCGCTGAAAACCATATGATCTTACCACTCTGATGGAGACCGCGTCTTATAATGAAATATATTAGGAGCCATCCGAGAATCAGGCAGCCCAATAATTCCCACTGGATTCCCCCGAGATGATCAATTCCTGATGTTATACCGAGAACTCGACGCCTAAGTAAAATATTCGGGGAAAAAAATTGATCGAGTGAGTGGATAAATGACTCCACATCCCTGCGAGGGGCCATTCATTTGGAAACTCGGTGACACAGTGATTGATTGTTTCACGGGATTCCAGGGAATTTCAATGATTCAATGCGGTATCACCTCTACTTATTACAGTTCAGTAGCGAAGCGGTAAACCGGGTCAAGTCGATTTTGACTATTGGCCAGTTTTTGACGAATATCTCAGAATCTAAAAGAGATAGAAAATTTTTTGTCATGACCTTTTCTGTAGAGCCAACTGAGGGTTACAAAAAAGGTGGTGAGCAAAATTTTGCTATCTCTCTTAGATTCCGAGATATTTGTCAACAAATGGCCAAAAGTCAAAATCGACTTGACCCGGTTTACCGCTTCGCTACCGAGTTGTGATATTACGGCACGTTTCATCACAGATATTCATCACATGGACAATTCGTCACATTATTTTTCATCACGATTAATTCATCGCAGCGCTGGTCATCACATGAGAAACTCATCACAGCATTATTCATTATGAATTCAAAAGATGTTTGTTTATATCGTTCCGCAGATTTCAACTGATTTCATACGATTTCGTCCTGAGTGACACCGTCATTTCACAAATGAGTGGCCCCTCGCATCGTAGATACGAATGCTTAATTTTTTTTTTATCGTTTTCTCTACCCCAGCCCCTCCCCTCCCCCCGGCAATTAAAAACTTACTCCCAATATTCTTCGACTGGGGACGTCGAATGACTAGAGTTAATGTGGTCGCTGCGGGATTTATTCACGCTTCCTTCATGACAACTCTCAGTGTTCCATGAATTACCTGTGTGAGAAAGATAAACTCGAATGAATATGATGTTTCTCATAGTCATAGGGTGTAACGTTACCGCAATCACTCCAGGGTAAACCAGGCAATTTCGTGAATGTACTTATAAGGTAGAATAGGGTCCACGCTATTATGATACAGTAATAGACGTCCAGATAAAAAACAATTGTCATGGTTGCATATCCAACGCCTAAATGAATAAATAATACACAGATTAATGGACATGATATTGAACAGATTGATAGAATAATTGGGAAACAATACGGGGAAAAAGTTTAACAGAAAAACCGAGTGAATTCCCTAGACGATTCCATCGGATTTCTATTGAAATTTTGAATAGAAAATATTCTATAGAAAAGGTCAAGAGAATTCGATTTTTCTATACTTATTTTGTTCAGATATTTTCTGTAGAATTTCCTCGGCTGAAATGTCCAGAAGAAAAGAAAATTGAATGAAAAAAAACTTGGAATCGAATTCTATTGACTTTTTCCATTGAATATTTCAGTAGAATTTTCCAACGAATTTCGCTACGTTTTTCTATTAAATTTTTTCGTGCTTGAATTTTTGTAATTAAATGTATCCATTACCTTGCAATAGTGGACACAATTGTCCGACTAATGTCATACCCCCAGCGCCCAAATACTGTCCGATGGCGACTTCTTGGAAAAATATTGGAATCCCACAAAATATCATGGCAATTCCATAGGTAACCAGGAACGCTCCGCCCCCATTTTTATAACACAAATATGGAAATCTCCATACGTTTCCCAAACCCACTGACACGCTGATGCATGAGAACAGAAAATCAAGTTTATTATCCCAACCCCCGCGCTCATCGTCCTCTCTGCGCGCCTCAACTTCAGTATTTTCGCGCTGTTGAATTGTCGACGACGTGATATTTTTTCTTGACGCTGCACGCGATGATTCACCCCCAGTTGCTGATATTACCTTTGCCTTGAACTCTATGAATGTTTGGTCAGGATCGACCGGCTCACGCTCCTCACCCCAATAATACATTTTCTCCGTCATGATCATTCACTAAACGATAAGCATAGCTAATTCAACGATTCAAAATATTATCGGAGATTATTTTCCATTCGATGAGTTGAAATTTCATCATTTCGTTTTCCAAAACGAGTTTTCTGCAATTTTTTGCAGTTTTCACCAACAAAGTTATAATTTTTTTAATTAATAGTATTAGACAGATGGTAAACATCGGTGACAATTTTAAAATTTTAGAACTTATGGATATCGAGAAATTAAATAAACAAAATCAGTCTTATACACGACCTCTTATGGAGTTTTGATTAAATTGAATACAAAAATTAATTTCTTAGTTTAGTTAAACATTTTCTCTTTTCCACCCAAACACTCAGGGTGACATTTATGGCTTTTCTTAGAAAATAGAGACGTGAAGAAAAACAGTCCTCATGGTGAGTCACAAAGGAGAGGCTGAAGAAAATTGAAACAAGGGCCTTTTGTCAAATGGGTCCAGAGAGTGAAAACTCTCATGACTTTTAGTTAGTCGTCCTAGAGACTTCGTTGGAGAAAGATATACCTTCTGCGTGCGATCATTAAAGAGTTTTACTTTGAAGAATAAAACTAATGTGTTTTTATTGAGTATTCCTACACATAATCCAATA